TTTGTAGTTTCACATTTTGTGTTTTGCAGTTTTATGGGCGTTTTTGCGGTTTTTACAATTACATATAAGAGAAGCAACTTTTCATGTCCCAAGATAACCTTTCATTAATCAGGGGACGGGTACTCCAGCTAGTATAAAACATTTTAATGGGAGTTAGCTGCCCTCTAATGTCTCAGCAATAAGTTTGGGGGCATATAATGCTAAAAATTTGGTTTCGATACTCGTAGTGGACACAGCACAGACAGCTAATTGTGTATTTTTGCATTTACCAACAAGCATACAGAAGCAAGCTTTCAACTCTGATCGTCTTCAGGTTTCTATTAGAATTAGTCAAGTTAGGATCTATAGAAGGATATCCTTCTGTACGAGGTTATTACTCAACGCTTGTAGAATTGAATACTATTATTGCAAAAGGGACATTTCAAGCAGAAGATTTAATTTTTCTGCACAACAGTTATTACCCAATGCTTGTAAAACTGAATGCTCAACAATTATTGCAAGAGGGACGTTGGAAACAGAATATTAAATTTGTTTGTACAACAGTTATCATTCAATGCCAGTAAAGTTAAATACTACCAACAACATCAGGATACCACTTCACTCGCTCATGAAGAACAATAAAGTGCACATTATTAACGATAACATCCAACACACTACCACTCAGCTAGCGATGTGTTATGTGGTACAATTACACACTTCCTGACTGGTGGGATTTCAAATCATTCAACTATTACTACAAGAAGGACATTGGAGGCAAAATATTTAATGATAATAAGATGTTAAGTAACATAAGTACTGAGGAGATGTAGAACATTTTAATCTCACATCGCTAATGTAAATTATCTCCTTACTCTGTACCTTAGCTGATGATGACTCGTGGAACTAAAATTAGCATAGGTTCCAAATTTTGAAAATGTACTAAAGCTAAACTAGAATCGCTCAAAACAAACAATAAGTAAATAAATTCATAATGTTTATATAAACGTGATAAAATGGTTTGCTTTGTTTTAAATTTCGCGCAAAGCTACACGAGGTCTATCTGCGCTAGCCATCTTTAATTTAGCAGTGAAAGACTAGAGGAAAGGCAATTAGTCATCACCACCCACAGCCAACTTTTGGGCTACTCTTTTACCAACGAATAGTGGGATTGACCGTAACATTATAACGCCCCCACAGCTTAAATGGCGAGCATGTTTGATGGATCTGATTGTGAGTCGAGCACCCTAACCACCTGGCCATGACGGGCCAGAGAATAGTTAATAATTCGAATGAAATGTTGGGTTTCGCATGTAGGTTAAGAAGTTATAGTAAGGAAGAAATTATAACAAATATTGAAACTAAGTTAAGTAAAGTAAGAAGTCCTAATGACGTAAAGACTGTTAGAATAGAATGTCATAAAATTATTACAAAATTCAAACCGAACTATAATAAAGGAAATATTGATTATAAAATCATAAAATTAATAAAAGAAAATAGTAATATAATCATTTGTAAAGCAGATAAAGGGGACAAACCGTAATATTTAACAAAAGTGACTAAGACAAGGGAGTAGAAGACATATTGAAAAAAGTACATATGAAAAGCTTAAGAATAACCCAAGAAACAAATATCATGAAAACGTGAAAACTAGTGTTAAGAATAGCCTAATTTTAACTCCTGAAGAGAAAAAATGTTTGATACCAAGTAGATTTATTGCACCAATGTTTTATGTAGCACCAAACATGCATAAGCAATAACAGTTTTAGGCCTATAGTATCAAATACAGGTTCATCATCTTATGAAATAGCAAAACTTATAACATGTAAGTATTCGTTTTTGAGAAATAAGAACAAATATACAGTCAAAAATTCTATAGAATTTGTAGAGAAAATTAAAAACCTAAAATTAGAATAGAAAGACTTACTGTTATCATTTGATGTAACATCGTTGTTTACTAAAACACCATTAGATGACGAGATAAGAGGTTTTGAGAATAAGTTAATAGAAAACAGAGTACCAACAGTCGAAATTATAGATATGTCGAAATTAACAAGAGTGTGTGTAGACAATCCATTTTTCCAAGTTCATAAAAATTATTATAAACAGAAAGAAGGTTTATCGATGGGATCCCCCTTGTCACCGTTGTTATGTGACCTTTATATGGATAGTTTTGAAAATGAAGCTTTAAATAACGCTACATTTTAGCCAGAAGTTTGGATAAGATATGTAGATGACACATTCGTGCATGGAGTGGCGACATGGCAACAGCAAACTACAATATTTTTTAGTTATTTAGATAGTAAAGAACCAGCAATTCAATTCACGAGTGAAATTGAAGATAATAATAGCATTAATTTCTTAGACGTATTAGTTAGGAAAGAAGCAGAAGGTAACTTGGAAACATCAGTTTATAGAAAACCTTTTGCTGTTGTTATGCCCCACACAAAGAATCATGTCATATAAAAACCCAAAAAATATCAGCATTTTATGCATATGTTTATAGAGCTTTAAAAATATGTTCAAGATAGGAAGATTTAAAAAACGAATTGTTATTAATTAAGTATATAGCTATTGATAGAGGATTTGATCCAAATATAGTAGAAAAAGCATTTGAGAAGTTTAACAAAAATGCAAATTCAGTTTAAAATACCTCATTAAAATCTGTTTATGAAAAAACAAAAAAGAAACTCTAAGTTTACTTTACGTTCCAGATTTAACAAGTCAATTATATAAAGTATTTAAAAAGTATCAGAATTTTTACTCTATCTTCAAACCAATAAATAAGATAAAATATATGATAGGAAATGCTAAAAATAGAAATAACAGATAAGACAGGTATATATATATATATATATATATGAGATAGAATGTGAATGTGGTAGTGTTTATATTGGTTAAACTAAAAGAAAGTTAAAATATAGATTGCAAGAACAACAAAAGTTACATAGGAAATAATCAAATAGAAGTTTCAGCTGTAGCCGAACATGTAAAAACTACCCAGCATACAATATTATGGGGGAAAAAAAAAGTTTAGTTTAGCTCAGCCCCGAAGTTTTATATCATTAAATATTAAAGAAATATTAGAAATAATGAAATATAAAAAAACAAGTATTAAATAGAGACGAAGGACCAGCAAGTCAATACATTGATATATGGAGAGATACATTATAATTTTTTTTTATATATATTTTTCAATAACACTACGGAAATATGCAAATAACAAAGAATTAATGCGACAAGGGGGAAAGTATCAAATAATCTTGTAAGTCACTTCTGAGGATGACGTAGATCACGTACTTGTAGAGTGATATTTTAAAGTGGAAGCCGTACGGCTTCAATAAAGTTTTAATTCTGTAAATATAAAACGTTGTTTTTAATTATCTATTATAATTTACAAAATTGTAAACACACGTGCCGGTAGTGCATATTTAAATAACAAATAGATACCCTTGGACAAAATCTATTTTCTATGAGAAAATTATTAAGTTCTTGGCAGTATCCCTAATTTTAAATGATAGGCGAATAAATATTGCTCACCATCAACTCAGACCAGATAAATATATATTTCTTCTTCCCACTATTAATTAACTGATAGGGTACAGATCTAATTCCTTCATTTACAAATTTCATGATTTGTTGTATAGGGCGAATAGAAAATCTTCACAACGCAGACTTGAAGCAGTATAATTTCTAAGTATTTAATATATCATCAATCCTAAGATTAATTTCATAAAAGTCACATCAAAAGATATTTTAAAATCTTCACTACCATACTTAGTAAGACGTTGCAAACTTAAGTCCTTCATTTTGCTAAGATAGACTGTATCTTTAATAAGATATTAATTCATTTCCGACTTTAAATTTAAATTTCAGACTATACGAACATAAAAGAGATGTTAAAAACGATAATATTACTATTTCACCTTTAGCAGAATATGTTAGTGAAACTAATCACACAATTCAATGGGGACAAAATGTTATTTTAGCCCAACCTGGAAGTTTAATTGGTATGAATATACGTGAATCTATTGAGATAATTAAATGTAAAAAAAAAGTAAATTTAAATTATTGAATAAGGATGATGAACCTGATGGAAATGTTGTCAGCAGGTGGCGTGAAATTTGTTAATATGTAAATTGGTGTTTTGATAATTGTATAAATAAATGTTATTTTTTTTTTGCAAAACGTTACACTCCTAAGGATGATGCAATATTACACGTCGAAACATGTAGAGTGTATGAAATTTTTTTTCAGTTACATCAGGTTTTTTACCACTTTTTATTGTGTACAGTAAGTTATTGTATTTTAGTAATTTGGAGACTGGAAACAATCTCATTTTTATAGAATTGTGTATAAAACATCGATATTTTTTAGAAATTGTGAAGTTTTAAGATTAAGACGTTTAGTATAATATATTCAGTAAACAATTAAAGTTTAGGTACCTCTGAATACATCTAGGGTCTGGGGCAGTTGTTATTTCACTTTCACCGTGATATAATTTACAAGCTCCTGTGTTAGAGACTGCAACTTTTTTTTTAATATTCATGCACGTTACACTTCGGCGAACAAAGTTAAATTAATATCATATTCGAGTAAGAATGTCCATAAAGTTTTCTTATTATTTACAAATATCTTGTAGACACATTTGGTGTTATGTAAAACTTAATGATATTGATGACGACATCGGAGGAATGCCTTCTTAATGAGCATGTGACTGCATATTTTTCAATTTCCTTTGTTCAGTAACCATTTTAATTACGGCCAACAGTACTGTGATTTAGTGAAAGCAAACTTATAATTTTTTTCCTTTATTTTTCACATTAATCATTTTGAATATATACGTTAGTGCTGTCACCTGATGATAGTAATTGAATTGATCTCACCAAACTTTCTGACTGGTTATAGAGTTTTGAACTCTGAGTGACTTTTTGATTTCATCAATCAGATAAACAACCAGTGGCGAAACTGTCTGTGAAGAAAACCTTTATGACAGATAATAACGATTAAAACAACTAGCTTACCAAACACACAACAGCAGAATACAAAACCGTAAGCGGCGATCAGAGCTGCCTTCTCGTACTTGCTGAAAATAGATGAAAATTCCATTGTTGAATTGCTCCACGAGTGACTACAGTTGTAATCCAGTAATTCGGTTTCCTCCACGTCTACTGTAATATAGTCCTCCATGTTTTCTTCTTCAGCCTAGTGAAATCTGGTGATGGGTAAATAGGAAGAATGACCTCTAGTGCATGTTGCGCAATATCTTACAGAAATTTGAAACTTAAACAAAAAACTAGCTGCCTATCCTCTAGTCTATCACTTTGTATGAAAATCAACAAAGAAAAAAATTTTATAATATAACGAACTAGCTACGCATATCTGTTAATCCTCAAAGACACGAACTTAATATGAATAAAATTTGTGTAATAATTATTTTTAATCTTCAACGGCGAAAGAAGGCTAAAATAACATTCTTGAAACCCAGAACTCTATCTTACGTTTTTGTTAAATGTTTCTCAGTTTTGATATTCACTGAGTAAGTAGATAGTAAAAGTAAATACGAGGTTTATTGGCAATGATTTACCCGTTATTTTACACCACAAAAGAAGTCGCTTTTCACTTTATATGACACGTTACTTAGATAGGTCATAACTTCTGAAATGATTACATTGAAGAAGACATAATTGTTTCTGGTACTTTCCGCAGCATCAAATAATTATAAAAGAATTAAAAGTTTTTAGTATCATTTTGACATGAAGATCATATGGTCGAAACGGCCAGTATTATGATTGAAATATTTAGTTTCATTTTTTCATAGTTTTATAGGAATTTCTTTAACGTCAACTTTTGAATCTTTTTGTGACAACTAATACTAATTATTAAATAGCATTTGTTATCTGGTGACTAAATAGGAAATTAATACCCATAAGTATCTATGAAATTTATCTTTTCATAAACAGAAAATTATAGTTTACCAATCATTTTTATGAACTGCACTGCAAATCAGGTACTCAGCATCGGAACACAAAATTAAACATGTTCTTGACCTCATTCTTTTTAACATGAGACTTTATGGAACACGTTTCATTTTGACACGGCTAGGACGCATTATAATGCCTTAACGTGCTTGGAACGCCTTACAATATTTTTCATATTTGGAACGTGTTCTGGATTTTTACAGTATCAAATAACCAACTATATACCTTTCCAGAATTAGAATACTTTATTTACTGGGCCTAGAACATATGAAAGGCTAAATATAAATGACAACATAAGCGTTATTTCATTCCGATCCCGGAACTGGCAACAGTTATATCGAGTATTATGAATCAGGATAGATAAATGGGGGGAAGAGAGGACATCGGGATCTCGACGTGGTCGGGATTGTCAGCTGGGAGGGACATGACATAGAGGTTCAGTAGGTGATCGGCTGGTGCAAAAATGCTTCTCGGAGTGGGTACAGTGGTGGCGAGAACATCGGAGAAGATGAGATTGTGGTCACGAAAACATTTATTAACATAGCGAGTGCGAAGCTGTCGAAGGTGTAATAGAATGTGAGGAAAGTTGATACTGCGATAAAGGTCGGAAGTGGGACTAGGAAGTTTGAGGCCAAAGGCGAGCCAGAAGGCATGGCGCTCCAAAACTTGGAGACGAGAGTAGAAGGTCAGAGAAGCAGATATCCAGGCTGTATGTCCATAGGTTAAGCAGGGTCTGATAAATGTCTTGTATGTGTATAGCAGAAGAGGAGGGTTCAGGCCCCAGAAGGTACTGGTGAGAGAACGGAGGAGAAGAGGACGTCGAGTAACCTTAGCAGAAAGGGCAGATAGGTATGGTTTCCAAGTAAGATGCCCATCAAAGACAATGCTTAGATAGGTCACAGAGTCGGAAAGGAGGATCGGGACATTGTCAATTCTGACATCGAAT